GGCGAAGCCGAGAAGGGGACAGCAGCGGGCGAGAGAGGCAGAGAGAGGCGAGGAGACGAGAGCACCGTCGCCATGAGCGCCCTCAAGTTCTGCAGCAAATGGTGAGCAGACAGATCCATCCTTGGCATTCGTCTCCGATGTTTCCTCCCCGGGGATCCAAGAATCTAATTAATGGTCGTTTATATTAATCTCAAAATGTATTTTTGTTGCGTCTCTTTTCCTGCAGCGACAACATGCTGTACCCGCAGGAGGACAAGGAGATGCACACCCTCCTCTACGCTTGCTCGAATTGCCAGCACCAGGTGGTTGCCTTGCTCCTTCTCAGACGATGAATCGTCTTGTGTTTGGATTTGGTTGTTCACGAAACCCTAGGTTCGGTTGGGGATCGGGGTTTGCGGTGCTGATCTGGAATGCTATGTTAGGTTGAACTCGTGGGTTTAGTCAAGGTTTAGTGATCCAGTGACCGATGGTGGCTGCGGATTAAGGTTTGGTGGCACGTTATTAATAAGTTTGTGATTTGTTGGTTTGTTCTGGTAGAGCAACTCTAGCAGAGTCGCCGTATTGGCAGCCTCCATAGCACGTATGGAGCGTGCTCCATAATATTATGGAGGCTGCCGAGGCAAAGCGCCAACTCCGAGTCTGTCGTATTGCGGCCTCCATGTCTTTTTCTTTTCTTTTCTGTTTGTTGGTTGCATCAACTCATTGTCCCACACTCAGTTTGAGGGATTAAACTCTAAATTGAGTTAACATTCGTTACAAAGGTCTTGCATAGGTGGAGAAAAGTCGATTAGCGACATTTTCACACTATAGGTGTTCATCCCATTTGTGCTCCGTGTGGCCGTCGAGGTCGGCGACGGCTTTCTCAAGGGGGGCAAGGCTCAATATGGCGTTTTTCATCTCCTTGAATGTCACCATATTGGCATCGAATTGGCGCCATTCGGCTCACTCCCTCTCCGCTACAAAATCCACCTGGGCCTCCTAGTAGGGTCGCTTGACGACCGAGATCCTCCCTTTACTGTTTGCCATCCAGTTGTCATTAATTCTGTTTATGCCACTTACCTGAAGGTTAAAACCCTGCCTATATAAGCTTGGCTGTGGCTAGGTTGCGTTTATGAGTTTATTCCCCATTTCTGCCATGATGGCAAGAACATCTACAGATATAATTATGCTATGAAATCAATGGCCCTCTTGATTTGGCCTTATAAATGCTTGATTCCACTGTGAGATCTCTCGATTTACTCCAATTAGGTAGGATTGCTACTGGGATCTGGCACCATTGTTCTAGAATAAATATAGGAAGTGATTTTTTGGCCCTTTTTAATTGTTTTCTGATGCGTCTTGATCTTCTTTGTGAAATCCTCAGGAATTAAATCAATACAATGAGCTGCACATGGAGTCCATTTTTTTTTCTCTTTTCCATCAACGACTTACCAGCTGCGTTATAGTTAGCTGCATTGTTTGTTACAACTTAAACAAACTTTATCTTTTTCTACTTCCCCAACAATATCATCTAACATTTCAAACACTTTGTCAGCTGTCTTAGAAATGTCAGAAGTATTGACAGGAGAGAAAGACCATACTTTTTGGGCCATTCACTTTTCTATCTGTCCAGCCACCAGACATTATTGTTCTTTGAATTAAGAAAGCAAATTCTTTGTTCTCTTAATGTCTGGCTTGAGAAATTTTACCCTCACTTTGTGATATGATGGATGTTTAAAACCTTTACTGTATATTTCAATCATCTTTGTCATTCTGAATCCTTGACAACATTAAAATGAGATAGAATTGTTATAGAGAACCCGTCAAATTTGGGTGCAAACCTCTTCTCTCTCTTCTTTTTATGTAATACTAGAACAATGCCCGTGCGTTGCAACGGGATATAAATACTGTAGTACGTTACCTTGTGATTTACCTGTCAATAATAATGCGATTGTGTAAATAAATGTTCATCAAAACCCTGAATTACCTTATATTTTGATTAGAAGTTTGATAAGTAAATTAAAGTGGAATTGGTTCAGAAGGTAAGTAAATTAAGGTGATTGATTATAATATACATGGAAGGTTGGACGAAGGGGTGGTGGGAAGAAAGGTGAAATGGGAACCTTACGTTCTTTTTAAATAGTAGAGATACTGACTCACTGTTGTTTGAGCATTGCGCTTGTTAGCGAAACGATTTGTCACAGCCTCATCTTCGATGTTGTCAGCTGGAGTATTCTCTTTTATGCATCTGTTTCCTCCATTTCTATGTTGAACTTCCTCTTCTTTGCATCATTTTTTTATGCTTGGATTCCCTAAAATTTTGAAGAACTTTTTTCGAACATCATCAGGTACTTTTTCACAATGCTCAACATTAAACCTAGTCCTTGCCAAGTGATGCTTCAGTCTGTAAGCACCCCATTTAATAATAAGGCAATATTTGCATCTAATTGTCTTCTTCTCATGATCAATTTCATTTCCATGGTCCCAGTCAGGGCCAGTCCACGAGCATTCGTCCTTTTAGGTTTACTACTTTTGGTAGGACAGTGGCTGACTTTGCCGTTATACAAATATAAGATTTAGAAGAGTTAGGTACCAAGCTATCTAATTATTTAATCTAGTACATACTTAATCTAGTAGTGTTCGTACTAGTAGCTAACCTGTGTAACGTATCAAGGATGCCCCTCAATGTTTGATGGCTGTTGCTTCACTCGTGTTAAGGGAGAGTCTGCTGTGGACGACCATGCATGGGAGCCTAGCAGGTCGAGGTTGGCGTACGTGCTGCCGGCGGCCTGCAGCCCTACAAGCCGGCGAAGCCGCTAGAGAGACAGATTGGGAGACAAGCACAAGCAGACGACCAGCACCAATGGAAATGAATTAGGGTATTAATACAACTGCTGCATGATAATAATCTACTATAGAGAATAGATGGATGGCCGAGATTGAAAGAAAACTGAGTCGCTTAGAATCTGGATTGGCTCGCGATTTCACATGACCAGATGCGCGATTCAATCCCCAAACTTGGATTTAGACTGTGAATCTCTACTATTTAATGGGAGTTTGTACATCGTTCGTTCCCCCAGGGCCCCACCTACCGAAGGATCTTCCCACGATTCTCTATTTCCTTTTACTGACCGCAACCCCACCCAGTTTGGTAAGTGTCGATTCAATCAAATCTCCTTCCTCTCTTAGGATGCACTCACGTGTCTCCCTGGCAGATCCACTGCCATAAAAAGCTGAAGGATTAATTGAAGCCCAACCAAAAAAGCTTTTGACCTGAGCTGTATGCATGTCTTTTGGTTTTTCCGTTTACTCTACCCATGACCTAGAGCCGCTGAGCATCATAGATCGATTGATCTTTGGTTTTCTGATCTCATTGGTCCATGGACGATTCTGCGGCGCTGTCATGCCACGGTGCTAACCCCAGGCCCTTCCGTCTCTATTCTTCAGGTTGTGTCTTGGTAATCTATATCCACATCTTAACACTAGTATCCAGTGCCATCTTTTGATGAATTTAGTTCATCTAGTATGGTTAATCAGTTCCCAACAATGATTAATTGTGCCGTACCACATGGATTAATTTTGTTGGCCGTGTATAATGCATACATGAGAAGAGATTAATTTACTGATTGGATAACCTATATAGGGTGATGCCCCATGGTGACCTGAACAGAGGCCTCAAGGCCGAGTTGTCATCAGCATGTGGATCCCATCGTCATACACGCTGTATGTCTCCCGTTGGCTGGTTACATGTGCCCTTTCTTAGTTTTGTTGTGCCTTAAGGATGAAGGAAGTATGCCTTAGTGTATTATAATTTCTTCTTCGCACCCTCATGTTTGAATCTTGGCTCCGCCCCTGGGAGAACCAAGTTCCCTTCCGTCTCACGCCTAGATGGCTGCCAGAGATGGAAGGAAATGGCGGCCTTACCATAGAAAGAGAGAGAAACCCTAGCCGCCTTTGTGTGGGGGAGTGGAGAAAGGACAAGGGGATCGCGTCTCCCATATCGGCTTACTCAATTTTATCTTGCCAATAATGTTTCCACAACAACATATCTTGATATTAGCCTCTGAAAAGAAAGATTTCCTATCTTTTCAGGGGAGATACGGCCGTGAAGCAAAACCAGATTGCTGTGCCATACGAAGGATAGCTATACTAATTTGGTATACTAAAAAACACATTCGGTACAAAATTGACCTAACTCTTCGATATATTTCCTGCTGAATATCCCTGATCCCTTTTCCCGGTGGTCTGGAGAAAGCAGCAATCAACATGACTTTCCTAATCTCCCCTTCCTTTCGGGAAGAATGTGAAATTCTTTTTCCTTAAATGGGAGTCGAGCATGCAAATCAAAGTGGCTAATTTTTGAATTAAATAAAAAGCAAAATATACAAACTCTGAAATCAATGCTATAATTAAGCAATTGTTTTCTTGTAATATCCTTTCAAATCTCAAACTTAAGGGAGAAATTTGCTTCTTTTTTTAATAAAGATTGACGAAACAAATAATACTTAAAGAGTTGCTCCTTACAAGAACAAAACTGAGGTGACTGTCAATTACGTGCACAAGATGTTTTCTTTTGTGTGGTGATGGATGAGTTTTTTGTTGTTGTTTGTATTCTTTTCAGTTACGCTGAATTTGTAAATGTTTGATCCTTTTAACATGTTATAATATTTTATCATGAGTTTTCTCATAGATTGACTAATAATTGACATATGCTGAAACCACTGACAGGAGATTGCTACTGATACTTGTGTGTACAAAAGGGTTCTTCGGAAATCTGCTGATGAACCTAAAGACACCCTAAAAGACGCAGCTGCTGACGCGTCTCTGCCACGCACCAGAAGTGTTAAATGCTACAACTGTGGCTATCCAGAAGCTGCTTATTTCCAGGTCTGTAAATGAGCGTTGCTCACCTCCCTGTTGTTTGTCTCTGTAGTTGTTGCTAAGGGTTACAAGTACCATCTGTACAGGTAGATTTTAGTAATACCAAACCATGATCATGTGTTGTTTTCCTGCATCCTTTTCTGTTGATGTACATTCCGATTTATGTCGCTTCCTTGATGTGCAGGCCCCGACGAAGGGAGAGCTTGGCCTGACGCTGTACTTCATCTGCTGCAGCCCTACCTGTGGCCACAGGTGGAGGGACTGACTGACTGACAAGGGGGGAACCCTCCACAGAACGGAGTGTTAGTTCTTGGCACTGAAACTTGACTGGCCCTGTGTTGCTCATGACTTGCGTTTGTCTTAACTTGTTAGCTTGTGGTATCTGTGTTCCGAAGTTTAGGGCAACTTCATCACTGTGGGCTTACTGCTTCTGAGCTTGTTCTCTTCAATCTATATATATGCAGATGTTGGTTTGACCTTGAAGAGTTCTTAGGATGCGGTGGCTGTGCATCTTCCCTGTTTCATTACCTAGGCACTTATCAGGTCTCGTATTGATTTTTGTCCTTGATTTATCCTGATTCTCTGATGATTGGCCAAGACTCAAAATTTGCCTCAAATCTTCCTGATTCTTGCCACTGAAACTTGGCCGGCTCCATGGAGTAGATGCACATGCCTGCAGTTTGTCATTCGGAGTACTGGTTGCGAGGTTTGTGATGACTTTGCTGCTGTGGAACTTGAACGCAATGAGGACTTTATTTGCGATGCAGCTTCCCTGTTTCAGTACCTAGGTACCGCCGTTTGAGCGCTCGAGTGATTCTCTCCTTGAATTCTCCTGATTTTGCTTCTTTCTGGTGAAACATGAGTTGAGTGTAAAATGAGAGACAACTAGACAAAGCACATAATTCAAGTGTATCTTTATTTCGTCAGATTGGTTACATATATAGCATGTGAAAGGGTGTCTCCTGGGGACGCGACTGTTGGTGAAGACAACCCTCCAGTAGCAACAGCAGTTCGATTGCCAAAAGGGAAGAGTGGGGATTAACCTTAATTAACATTTTGTTGAAATTCTTAACAGTAATGTCATTCATTGTTGTCATTGATCTGAAGTTTCTATTTGTTCTTGTTCCGCGAGTGTGAATATCAGAGACCTCGTCCAGAATGGTGGGGGCGCTTGGTTTCCGCTTGGCGACTCGGTCGTGACTTGGTATAGTCGTATGGATACGTAGGTTTGGGAAGTGTCAGGCGTAACACCTGCAGGTTAAGATTCAGACAAAGGACATCCAGGATTGAAGCTCTCCGCGAGATCTGACGGCTCGTGAACCATTATTTACTTTTACTGAATCTTTTCACTTGTCGCGCTATTCACTTTCTACCATAACCGGCGGCTATCGAATCTTCTATGAGCTTTGAGCCAAACAAACATATATCACATTGATAATACATAGGTTAGAGCCTCCTTAAAAATAGAGAAGCATATAGCCGAGTAAAGATAGTGAAGTAAATTTTTACTCTATAGGTGGCTGCACCTAACCGATCCCCTAAACTTAATGGATTAAAAAAAGATTTACATATGTTTTGTGTGCTAGCCACATAAACTTCAAACACTTCACAATATATATTATAAAATATTTAAATTAAAACATGCATAACATAATCGTTAACCAACATATACTTTTATCATCGTGATTTTCAAATTGAAACATGCATAGTTCATCTCAAAGGTACACTTCAAACACAATGTTTGATAAAAAATCACCACAAACATAGCATGTGTATGTTGTGGATCGAGCCAACCAATGACATTCATGAACTCAAAGAATGTCATCTTCAAAGATATCACCACCGCCGCCGCCGCCACCACCACCACCACCACCATTCTGAAGAAAGCCTTCTGTTTGGGCCAAGATCTCCCCACGAGTGAGCTCCCAATACTTTTTTGCGGTTTCATTCATTGTGATTGGATTCATAAACATGATAGCACGATCTCCGGCTTTCTTGGCATCACAAAGCATCTCCTCCTCAAGTGCAAGTCTACGCTCCTCCGCCTTCAACTTTCTCTCTTCGGCCTCCAACTTGACCTTCGATTTCTCATCCTCCAACATCTCGAGCTCATTCCACCTCACCCTCTTCTCTTCCCTGCGTTCAACTGCTAACACCTTCTTGGCCTCGATCATGGCCACAAGTTCTTCTTTGTATGTGCCACCATGTGCATTTCTCTTCTTTCTCTCTTTTGCAATTTTGTCCCCTTTCGGTCTATTGTTGGCCTCTTCATCCACCTGGTCCTCCTCAATGGATATGCTCCACTTTGGAGTTGTTGGGGATATAACTACTAGGTATGAACCGCCCAGGAGGGGCCGGGTCATACCACTGGCGACTTATCAATAAAGATGGCGGGTCATAGCGAGCCTATTGACGGCCCAAGACCCAGAGGCGACTTGAGGCCCAAGGGGATGAACCGCCACATGTATAACTTGTATGGTAAGGCAAGCTTATTTAGTCATCGAGCCGGACACGTTGTGTATGAGCCGGCCGGGACTCTGTAAGCCACTGGGCGTCAACCTGTGTATATAAAGGGACGACCCGGCGGCGGGTTAAGGACAAGAGTCAAACAATCGAGAGCTAGGTCAAACGTATTCGCTCTCTGGTAACCGAAACCCTAGCAATACAACACAAAGCAGGAGTAGGCTTTTACCTCGTTGAGAGGGGCCGAACCTGGGTAAACTCTCTATGTCCTTTGTCCCGTTAACCCCTTCAAGCTAACCTAGTTGTGATGGCTCCACGACTAAGTCCTTTCGCTGGGACATCTGCCGTGTTAATTCCATGACAGTTGGCGCCCACCATGGGGCCAGCGCACGGTGGTTTCGAGTTCTTGAAGGGCAACTTCGCAGGGATCAAGGGATACGCTGTGGGTCGGATGACCAAGAGTTGTCACGGCAAGCTCTACATCGACGACGCTAGCCGGGGCCTCGAGGCCGGCTCAACTGAGTACGGGTACTGGGTCCCCTTCGGCAGAATCCACGCCTTCATCGGCAAGATCGGCGAATCGGGCCCTGAGCCGGACACCTGCACCGACATCATCGAGATGGCTCAGCGTGCACGACCCGCCAAGGTTCAAGCCATTGTGAAGCATGCCTTTGTTGGTTTCATCCATGGGGCGGAATTTGAGGAAGGATCTGTGTCTGGTGGTGAGACGGCCTTCCACTCGGATGGTCAATCGTCAACTGGGGAGACCAATTCAATGTATCAGCTGTAAGATGGCCAGCTTGGGGGTTGTTTCGATGTCGACAGTATTCCGAAGCCAAACAGGGTGGCAATCTTCATGGCCGGTACACAACCAGTGCTCGGCTCGACAACCGCCACAGCCATGACCTCCAGCTCCACGGCCGCAGCGACGGACGGGGCTAGCGGCCCTGCGTGCCCGCTGGCTCAGGTCCTGACCGAATTGTTGGATGCTTTGTCGGCTTTGATGGGGGTGGAGGTGACCCCGGACACTCAAGAACAGCATAAGGTGGATGTTGCGAAGCTACGAGATGAGATAGCTCAGGCCAAGGAAGAGCTGGCGGCTGAAAACATTAGGATGGCCACGGAGCGAGCTACTTTGGACGCTCAGGCACAACGGATTCAGGCAGAGTCTTTCCGGCTTACTTTGGATCAAAACGCTTCAAATGCCATCATGAGAAGGAGACACCAGAGTCGCTTACCTCTGGAGTACGATGCGAGAAACCTTTTGAACACGCCGGGGGCAGGGATCAGCGACCCGCCCATGGTGAAGTGGGCGATGGTAGCACCTATGACTGGAAATATGCCCTAGAGGCAATAATAAAGTCGTTATTTATATTTCCTTATATCATGATAAATGTTTATTATTCATGCTAGAATTGTATTAACCGAAAACTTAGTACATGTGTGAATACATAGACAAACAAAGCGTCCCTAGTATACCTCTACTTGACTAGCTCGTTAATCAAAGATGGTTAAGTTTCCTGACCATAGACATGTATTGTCATTTGATGAATGGGATCACATCATTAGAGAATGATGTGATGGACAAGACCCACCCGTTAGCTTAGCATTATGATCGTTTAGTTTTATTGCTATTGCTTTCTTCATGACTTATACATATTCCTCTGACTATGAGATTATGCAACTCCCGAATACCGAAGGAACACCTTGTATTCTATCAAACGTCACAACGTACCTGGGTGATTATAAAGATGCTCTATAGGTGTCACCGAAGGTCTTTGTTGAGTTGGCATAGATCAAGATTAGGATTTGTCACTCCGTGTACCGGAGAGGTATCTCTGGGCCCTCTCGGTAATGCACATCACTATATGCCTTGCAAGCAATGTAACTAATGATTTAGCTGCGGGATGATGCATTACGGTACGAGTAAAGAGACTTGCCGGTAACGAGATTAAACTAGGTATGATGATATCGATGATCAAATCTCGGGCAAGTAACATACCGATGACAAAGGGAATAACGTATGTGGTTATGCGGTTTGACCGACAAAGATCTTCGTAGAATATGTAGGAGCCAATATGAGCATCCAGGTTCTGCTATTGGTTATTGACTGGAGATATGTCTCGGTCGTGTCTACATAGTTCTCGAACCCGTAGGGTCCGCACGCTTAACGTTCGATGACGATTTGTATTATGAGTTATGTGTGTTTGGTGACTGAAGTTTGTTCAGAGTCCCGGATGAGATCACGGACATGACGAGGAGTCTTGGAATGGTCGAAGGTAAAGATTCATATATTGGAAGGTTGTATTCGGACATCGGAATGGTTCCGAGTGATTCGGGTATTTTTTCGGAGTACCGAGGGTTTACCGGAACCCCCCGGGGGAATATTGGGCCTACATGGACCATAGGGGAGAGGGAAGGCAGCCCACAAGGGGTAGTCGCGCCCCCTCCCTATAGGGAGTCCGAATTGTACTAGGGAGGGGGAGGGCCCCCCTTTCCTTCTCCTCTTCCTCTCCCTTCCCTCTTTCCCCTTCCGGAAAAAGGAAAGGGAGTCCAACTAGGATTGGGAGTCCTAGTTGGACTCCCCCATTTGGCGTGCCCCTAGGCAGGCCGCCTCCTCCCCTCCTCCTTTATATACGGGGGCAGGGGCACCCCAAAGACACAACAGTTGTTCCTTAGCCGTGTGCGGTGCCCCCTCCACAGTTTACCACCTCGGTCATATTTTCGTAGTGCTTAGGCGAAGCCCTGCGCGGATCACATCACCAACACCGTCGCCACGCCGTCGTGCTGAAGGAACTCTCC